TATTTTACCAGAAATGATCATTCTAAAAGCTGATCGAAACCAGCTGTAAAAGAAAGCATAGACCAATGGATTGAGCATTGAATTTGACCATCCAAGCCACTTAAATGCTTCAATCACAGCAGCTGGTATTGTGTAATTACTCAAAGGGTTAAAAAGTCGCACAAAGAGTAAAAGGAGTCCAACAGATGAGGAAAACTCCCATTACAATAGCCAGAGTTTTGGTGGCCTTTCTCTCCTTCTTAATTTCAGATTTTGTGCTCTGACAGGTTGTGTTGTGGATGCTGCGTGCCTGTCTCTGTGCCACCATCAGAATCTTTAAGTAGATAGTGACCATTACAATAGCTGGGAAATAAAACCCAAAAACAACTGCCATAACTGCTGAACTTAAATTCTGAAATAAAACACACCTGTTAGATTGTCCTTTGTTCACTCCCAAAAATGTCATGCTAATTGCGTTTACAGCAGGAACAGTCCAGCTCACCAGGATCATGATCACAATTACACGGACATTTATTTTAGTTCTGTACCTCAGAGGCTGACACACTGCATAATATCTGTCAACAGCAATAGAACACAAGTTTAAAATAGAAGATGTGCACAGAAAGAGATCAAAGCTGCCTCGTATCTTGCAGAGTAAATCTTCAAGATACCAACAAGAGCTCAAAGCCAGTACCCCGCTAAAAGGCAAAACTGTAAGCCCAACAAGCAGGTCAGCTACAGCGAGAGACAGGATGAGGTAGTTTGTAGGAGTGTGGAGCTGTTTGAAGTAAATGATGGAGGTTATTAAAAGAAGGTTTCCACACATTATAAGAACTGATAAAGAGCCAATAAAAATACATAACAAGTATGTGCTGGTGGTGAGTGCACTCCTACCAGATACATTTTCTGATTGATTACAGAAATGTTTGTCCTCAAAAACATCATCAGACCTGTTGACAAAGAATTCAGGTTCCATTAAATCATTTTGTTGTCTATTCTGTCTGTAAGAGAGCCTTTCAGTTAATATTAATGCTCTGTATGTTTCATACCATACCTATCAATCCTGGTTAGTGCATCTGTACTGATGGTAGTCCTTGCTCTCTGTTCCACTGAGCAGTATATTTGGTTATTATTCTGGGCTCACTAGCCTATCGTAGTGAAGATCACTGTCAAGGGAGCCTCTTAAAGGGATATATGTTTAATTTAGTATTCCAGTGTTGTAGAGTTAAAAAGGTCACAAGCAACAGATTAAAAGTAAGAAACCAAAGCAGCAGAGGCCAAGATAGCCACACTTTTAGTTCTTTGTATGGGTCAAGTGCTAAAAATCTGGATCTTAAAAATATTGCCTGACTCAAGCCCAAGCAAAAACAACCCTGGTAACGTCAAAGATCTAACACCTCCCCCAGAATTTCCTATTGCATTAAAATCAGAATTCTAATAAAAAAATACTTAATTGATGATTTATTACAATATCTAACAGTATATATAGAAATAGAAAATAGAAATGTATATATTGATAAATATATATATAAAAATAATATAATATAAAATAATAATATATTTATATAATAAGAGTAAATATAATATATGACAATAAAGATGGAAGTAATTGTGTGCTACAGTATATTAGCAACATCAGTGTAATAAATTAAAGTGAGTACTGATAATGTTAATAATAAGTACTAATAATGTTGATATGTTGACATCCTTAAAAGACTGCAGTATTAGTCAGAGTTCTGCACACTAACCATGGTATTGAGTGTCTGACACTCTGAGGGAAGAGTTCAAGGCAGGAATGACTTGGTGTGGCGCTCTGTGGTGCATCTCAGTGGAATGAGTCTTACACTGAAAGGACTCCTGTGTTTGACCAGTTCATTGTGGAGTGGGTGGGAGACATGTCCAGGATGGAATGTAGCCGGGACAGCATCCTCCTCTCTGACACTGCTGTCAAAGAGTCCAGCTCTACCCCCACAGCATCACTAGCCTTGCAGATAAGTTTGTTGAGTCTGTTAGCATCTGCTACCCTCAACCTGCTACCCCAGCAGACAACAGCAAACTGGCCACCACAGACTCACAAAACATCCTAGCATTGTCCAGCAGATGTCCTCAGAAAATAGAAACAGCTCTGGCCCTTCCTGTAGTGGGCTTGAGTGTTCTTAGCCCAGTCCAGTTTATTGTCAGTGTATACTCCCAAGTACTTGTAGTCCTCCACAGTGTCTACACTGACAGCCTGGATGGAAACAGGGGCCATTGGTGCCTTGACCTTCCTTAGATCCACAACCAGCTTGTTTGTCTTTGTCACGTTAACCTGAAGATGGTTCTGCTCACACCAGGTGGCAAAGTTACCCACCATGGCCCCGGCGCGATTCATTAGGAAAATGATGGTGCCCTGAACTGCTAGTTAAGGCTGGTAGGCGAACTGGAGTGGGTCCATATGAGGTCTGACCATGGGCCGCAGCTGATCTAAGACAAGTCTCCAGGGTCTTCATAATGTGGGAGGTCAATGCCACTGGTCTCTAGTCCTTGGAGCCACTGGGACATGGTGCCTTTAGCACAGGGACGAGGCAAGATGTTTTCTACAGCACAGAGACCCTTTGAAAACTCAGGCTCAAGTTGAAGACATGGTGACGCACTCCACATAGCTGGGGGGTAGAGGTGTTATGCACCCTTAACCTTAGCATACAGCAAGTCTAGTGACTATCTAGCATGACAACTCACATACTCGGTGAAGCTATGTAGTGTTGTTGCCATGGTGACATGGTTGAAGAAATTTTTAATGTGTGTTTGTGTGAGAGAGAAGTACTTTGATGATATGTATTTGAGTTAGAAGTTATCTAACAAAGCATGATCTAAAAAAAGTAAATAGACATACTTCCATTTGTTTCAATGGCCATTAAAACCCATTGAAACTACTGGAGAGTGGCCCCTTCAGCTAATGTTTTCACCTGCTGTATGACTAATAATAATTGTGTGCAACTTTTTTTAATATGGAAAATATAGATAGGAGCCCATTGCACGTGTGTACTGAAAATAACAAAGATTCCTCCACTTTTATTGCTTGTTCTAAGGTATTTTCTACCATTTTAGGGAAAAACAGTAGTCCCATGTGCCCAAAGACTAAATATAGTATGATAAGAAATTAGTTGTATCTCAGAAAATACAACGAACACAAACAAGTATTTGATATCACTGAACTGACATTAATTAAATTCCTAAGATATGCACACAAATGCAGTGTTAAAAATACATTTCATATGGAAAACATTTAATAAACACTTCCTCATTTTTGTTCAGTTAATATAAAAGCTCTGTATGTTTCATACCATGCCTATCAATCCTGGTTAGTGCATCTGCACTGATGGAAATCCTTGCTCTCTGAGCAGTATGGTTGGTTATTATTCTGAGCTCGTTAGCCTATCATAGTGAATATCACTGTCAAGGGAGCCTCTTTAAAGGGGTACTAGTGTAATTTAATATTCCAGTGCTGTAAAGTTGGAGGACTCACAAAAGACAGATTAAAATTATAGATGCAAGCAGCAATAATCGGGCCCTTGCAATCCACACAAGTCGGGGTGCCGCAACATCAAAAAATGTATGATTGATGATTTTGATTTTTGATGCCATGCCATGGACACGCCCTTTGATAAAAACGCAAAACTTTGATAACTTTTCATCTGAAGCATGTTTAGAGTGAACTGACTAAATCTGAAGACGATCTGATCACTTCTGTAGGAGTGCCAATGCCTGGAAAAAGCAAAAACCACCAAAATGGGAAATTAAATTAAAATTGGCTGCCTGTTGGGTTTGGGTTACATTACATATTTCTACCAATTTTCATACACCTGACCAGATTTCAGCTATATCTGATCAGCCTGCTAGGAGTAGTAGGTGAAAGTATAAAACATACATAATTTACTGTTGCTAATAGCTGCTGCTATGAGTGTCTGAATACTTGCATGTAGATGTATTCGGTAGATGTATTCAGGAGTCTTCTCAAACTTTCAAAGTTTGGTGCAGATTGGATAATGTATACTAAAGTTACAACAACATCAGGCACCACAGACACGCTTTTTGATGAAAACTCAAGATTGTGATTACTTGATTGTCTTTACATTAAACTGACGCAATCAATTCCCTAGGATGAGTGCGTTAAAGTATAAAGTATAAACCTAAAATGGCTGCTAAATCCCAAATGGCCAACTGCCTGTTTGGTTTTGGATATGGGCTCTTGAGGCGTTTTTGATTATCTACGTGCATACGATACTGACGAGTTTGAAGAGATTGTTAAAATACAACATTGAAATGGCGCCAAAATCGGACATGAAATTTAAAATGCCTGACTTCCTGTTGGGTTTAGGATAATGCTCAAAGTGGCTTTTTTGTACATCCGGACAAACAGGATGTACTTTGCAAACCACTTACAAACCAATCTGAAATGTAAAAGTTTGTCACTTGTGACATACACTATATGGACAAAAGTATTTGGCCACACCTGTTAATTCTTGAATACAGGTGTTCCAATCAGACCCCTTGCCACAGGTGTATAAAGTCAAGCACCTAGCCATGCAGTCTCCATTTGCAAACATTTGTGAGGCAAAATGGGTCGTTCCCAGGAGCTCAGTGACTTCAAGCGTGGTACTGTGATAGGATGCCACCTTTGCAATAAGACTGTTCATGAAATTTCATCCCTTCTGGATATTCCATGGTCAACTGTAAGTGATTTTATTAGAAAGTGGAAGCGTTTCCTCCCCCAATTGCAATACCTCAACTCAATTGCAGTGGCAGCAAGATCTGGGAATTAATTTGTCATCTTCTGAATGGGATAGCTTGTGGAGGAACTCAATTAATATGAGCAAATGCGTAAGATATAGACTAAAACAGATGTAGATAATGCATAGGGCATATCTAACTCCGGTCAGACTAAAAAAGATGGGCCAGAGCCAACGCAGGACAACGTAAAATTACAGAGTGGGGTCAACAACTGCTGAGGAGCATGGTGCGTAAAAGTCGCCAACACTCTGCTGATTCCATAGCTGAAGAGTTCCGGAAATCCACTGGCATTAATGTGAACACAAAAACTATGCGGTGAAGCTTCATGGAATTGGTGTGAACTGGAATGGACATCATCAACAGGAACCTAAGGGCCTTCATCCAGAACTCGATGGGAATGTGGAAGACAACCCTAGAAGCCGACTCAAAGCCAATTGCCCAAGTCAACATCAAATGCGGCATATACCAAGGAGATGCGCTATCACCACTTCTGTTCTGCATAGGCCTGAACCCCCTCAGTCAGATTATCACAAAGAGTGGTTACGGGTACCAATTCCGAAGTGGAGCAATGACATCAAGCTGTACGCCAGGAATGAGCGAGAAATCGACTCACTGATCCACACCACCAGGATCTAAAGCAACGACATTGGACAAGTGCGGCCGGATGGTCTCAAAGAGAGGCAAGATGATCAGAACTGAAGGGGTTGACCTACCAGAGGGCAACATGGTGATATCCAAGACAGCTACAAGTACCTTGGTATCCCACAGGCTAATGGAAACCATGAGGAAGCCGCAAGGAAGTCAACCACAACCAAAACCTCCAGAGAGTAAGGCAGGTCCTGAAAAGTCAGCTGAATGGCAGGAACAAGATCCAAGCCATCAACGTGTACGCACTACCAGTCATCAGATACCCTGCTGGGATCATAAGCTGGCCAAAGGAGGAGATAGAAGCCACAGATATCAAGACAAGAAAGCTCCTCACCATGCACGGAGGGTTTCACCCCAAATCCAGCACCCTGAGACTGTACGCTAAGTGGAAAGAAGGAGGCCGAGGACTAGTGAGCATCAAGGCCACTATCCAGGATGAAACATCAAAAATCCAAGAGTACATCAGAAAAATGGCCACAAAGGATGAACTGCTAAGTGAATGTCTCAGGCAACAGAAACCCGATAAGAGTGCAAGGAAGAGGAGCAGACAACCTGGAGAGACAAGCCCCTACATGGCATGT